AGCGATGAAGGAGATGACGGCGGAGAAACATCTCCGAGTGTTGTTCTTTGCTCGGTTTTTAACTAAAAGGAAACGTTCAAATCGCTTAAAACAGACGCGATAGCTGATTCGAACGAGTGATGTTCGACGGCGGCATCCATCTTTGTAATGTAGGCTACAAAATCTGCTTCAAAATCCCAGCGCTGTCGTCATCGTGTAAAGCCCGCCCCAACGTTTCTGATTGGTGCCTCGATTTCGGCGGATTGGAAATGGGCTTGAATGAGCTCTTTGCCAGACTAACTTTCAGAGCAAATCTAAATTTGCCGGAAGTTGTCTGGGTTTTCCCAGGCTATTGACTTGCTTGAAGAAAAAAAAAAAAAAAAAAAAAAAGAAATGGCTGAATCATGGTCAGTGGACCTCTCGCTGGTTGCCGAGGAGCGGATAAACTATAACGATCAGTCTATAATCCCACCCACTTTGAAGCGGTACTAACTGCAGTGGAAAAGCAAACCGAGCTAAAGCGAACCGAGCCGTGCCGAGCCGAGTCGTACCACGCAGTGGAAAAGCGAAGCGAGCCGAACCATGCCGCACCGAGCCGAACCGCACTGAGCCGTACCAGCAGTGGAAAAGCGCCATAAGGCTCGACGCCTACCATTGTCAAATGATCTCATTCCTGTTGCGTGTCCTCAATCTGGAAACCCGCATGAGCGTCGGATCCAATGTTTTGATTTTGGACTGCAGTACCCATTTCAACCACTAGCTGTCAATATTACATACTCCACCTTTAACGGAGGAGTTTAATTAGATGCCAATCAATCTAGTTGTCATGGACTGCATTTCCCATCATCCTCCCTGGCACCTGACCACGCACACCAGGAACTCATGTAGCCCTCATCACCAGCACTATATAGGGCGCACACAGTCATTGGCTGTGTCCAAAAGCTTAAAGACGCTCCCTTCGGAGGATTCCTTCCCAGGTAGGAAGGCATAAAGCCACGTCTGAATCCAATGTTAGCTTCACTTCTTGTCTCCTGAGATGCCTTCATCTGATCGGTTTTTGAAGGCAGCATAGACGTATCCTTCTCTGCCTTTGATATCCTACAATCCTGTGCTTTCCATTCTGTGACAGTTGAGCTAAAAAATAAAGATGGCGTCTGAAAGTTGCGGTTGATGGTCCGTGTTTTGACCAATGTTTTCCACTTCTGATGTCATTTCTAGCAATAAATGACTATTATAGTAATTAAATATTCACTTAGTTTTCACCAAAGCTCGCTCTATTTTGCTGTAGATCATTAAACCGTCACGCTGCCTCAGAAGTCTGTCAGAAATCAGTTTCGTGAGGGGCCAAGCGCTCAAACGCTGCCTAAGTTCTCGGACAGTCACAGACCTCGTCTGATACTAAAGACTTTACCCGCTTTATGTTCCTGACTACCTTGCTAGCTACTGCGGTTTACCTCAACCAAGTCGATCGCCAGTCGTTCAAGTCATCTTCCAATTACCCCTCATCTCAGAGTGGTTTCTCATGTGTGTGTGTGTTCTCCAACGATTCTGTAAGATAAAGACTCAAAGTTAACAATACAAGTCCATCTTATCTGCTAGCGATGTCAAGTACAGTATCATCACTTACCTGTTTGTACACTGTGTTCCTGCCATATCTGTAAATAAACCTGTTTGAACTTTACTCTAATTCTGGTTCAAGCCTGAGTGTGACAGTAGAAATATCTCTGGAAGAAAGTTTTGTGCCTTTCGTTCATAATATCAGAGGACTGTTAGCTAAAGCAAAGACTATAAATAGTTAGAGCACTGCAATGATGACGTATTTTTGTAGGTCAACCCGGAAGTTTGCAATAGGATTTTCCATTGGCTTTTGGATTATTGCAGAAAATAAGCTCTGTGACCGACAAGAGTTTATGATTCTTATGTGTGTTGTTCATCATGATAATCTTGAAGCTTACATACAATCATCAGAAGTAAAAAGCTAAATGTACAATTTACTAGCGAACTACACCACGGTTGAATGACTCCACCACAACTAAGCTTCCAACAAATCTTTCTTAAAAAAAAAAAAAACTTTTTCTTAAACACAACAAGGCTGTAAAAGCAAAGTAGTGTATAGATATATGAGTTTACCTGTTCGGCATGATGACGATCAAAGTCCCATTTAGCCACTTATTAGCAACAACAGCTTTGTTCAAGACAAGGAAAAGCTTTAAAAAAAATCTGATGTATTTTATGTCCGAATAAAATGTAAAATTATCTTCAGTTTGTATTCACCACAGACCTTATTTCAGGCATTTAACCAAAAATCAATACAAAAACCCTACTGACTTCAGGACGATGGAACCGGAAATGCTAAAATGCTAACTCGTTTCCACTGTTAGCGTTTCTGGCCTACTAAAAGCAGAAAGATTTTGGCCAATTGAATTTTAGTGTGGGCGGGGCTACCCAATGTGGCTCCATAGAAAAAAACATTTTCTTGTTGTCTGTGGTGGATGTTTAGGGGAAAAAAAACACGTTTTCACGTGTCAAGCAGCTGGTCAGATAGTGTTTAAGTATTTCAGTTACTTTTGTTATTTAGTGACAATCATCACTAGTACATTCATTCCTGGGATACTTTATTTTGATTGGACAAATATTTTAAAGTCCCCTTATGGTGAAAATCAAGGTTTTAATGTTGTTAATAGTGGTATTTTTAACATGCTATAAGACAAACCATGTGCAAATTCATAAGTCAACAGCATTGCTGAGTATTTTCTCCTTAAAACTGCAGTGAACCAAAGACAGTCTCAAAAACACGGTTTGAAATCGCTGGGGCACGTTCAAGTTCAAAACAGTGCGCAACTAGCCTGGTTAAAACCAGACCATTCTCAGTTGTAACTGAGTTATGGTCTGGCAAAGCGTCATAGACAAATAATTTCCAGAGGGGCGTCACCAACGGACCTCGCGGATAGACCGAAACCCAATCAGAGCGATGAAGGAGATGACGTATGCAGAGCGGCGGAGAAACATCTCCGAGTGTTGTTCTTTGCTCGGCTTTTCTTTGCAGGATATCAACATAATGATGTAGTTGTTTATATTTTTAGCTTCATTGCAAGTGTATGACATTTGGTATAAACAATAATAATAATAATAATAATTCATTACATTTATATAGCGCTTTTCTAGGCACTCAAAGCGCTTCACATGGAAGGGTTAATTACAAACAATGGTAATTAAGTGCTTTTCCTAAAAATGAGAAAGAAAATACAGGGTATTAAAACAGTACGAACTACAAATAAAGTCAGTATGTGAGGATAAATAGATGTGTTTTAGTCTGAATTAGGAAAGATGTGTGATTCCATTTCAGTTTCAGCAAATCCCTTCACTCGATTGGGATGTTCTCTTGTGTTCTGAGCGGCAAGTGCAGTAACTGTAACATCGGGCATATTTTGTAGTATTAAACACATATTTATACCGACTTCATCAGGCTCCGAAAATTATTCACAAGGAACACAAAGAATGGCCTTCTCAGCTGCCATAGTTGCAACTCTTGCTTCATCAGAACAGTGTGTTCAACGCATCACCGTTTCTGTTTAAAAAACGTTGTGCAACGTTTTGTCGGGGCAAAAACCACAAACCTTTTAACCAATCAGATCAACGTGTGATCATCAACGAGTGGATCTCTGAGCTGCTGCGAGTGAGTGGAGGCGGGGCTCATTTGCAAATTCATAGAACTGCGTATACTAAATGAGGCAAGGGTGTAGAGTTACATTCAAGGTATATTAAGGCATGACAAGTTTTTTTTTCAAGATTTTTTTTTTTTAAATATGTAATTTTGGTAATCAAAGATGAGTTTTAAGGGATACAATTATTGACTACAGGGGGACTTTAAAATAGGCCTTATGATTTTTCTTGTCTATCCCTCCGCTGTCTCCTTCTTCTAACATAATAAAACAATATCAGTTCATCAATCATATTTCATGTCTATTTGTTTTATTGCAGATTAGTGATACAACCTCCTGATTATTCTGTCTAGGTTTAGAAAAATCTGGTTTACTATGTTTGTGGCGACTTTCCACAGACGTAATGATTTTTATACAAACTGTATATCCTCTCCTCTTACACTAACCCTAACCCCTAAACCTACCCGATCACACAAAACTTTCTGCATTTTTACATTGCACAAAAACTCATTCAGTATGCCAATAAGCTTCCTCATGGGGACCTTAATTTAGTCCCATTATGAGTGGGTGTGCATTCAGGTTAAAGTCCCCACCGGGATAGAAAAACATGCACACACACACACACACACACACACACACACACACACACACACACACATCCCCGTGTTGTCTCATAAGATCTCATTGTTCTGCATTGATGGTCCAAATGATAATGGTGGATGAGCTCCATTATGGAGTGAAAACAGCAGCAGATCTTAATGAGACCTCTGTCTAAGGGCACAGATGACATACTCAGATCCTCTCTCTCCTCCCTGCTCTCTGACCCATCCGTTTGCTGGAACACGGGTAATGAGATTGATCCGGGTCGCTTAAAACAGGGAAGAAGGGTTCAAGCAGGTGTCATCGAAACAGAGAAAAGCTCACCCCTGCTGATTCAATTCCTAGTGTCTTTAGACACACACACACACAGACACAGATTTGCACAAGCCACAGTATTCTGACACCAGGGGGACAGGAGAAATCATGAGGATATTTACATTTAAACATATTGCATGGTGATGCAAATATATTGGCTACACAAAATAATCCTAATAGGCTTATTGACCTTATAGGGCGGAGATTTCAAAGCATAGGCTGTGACCTTAAAGGGAAGACACATATTTTATGAATCGCATTCAAATGAGGAAAAAGTGGGCGGGAATAGCTTGCGTTCTGACCAATTAAATGCCTTGTTCTCAAACAGCGTGGGCGGAACATACGCCTTGTGAGGTTCCCGTGGGCGTGGTCTGACGCAACGAGGGCGGGGCTTTAGCCGGAAGTGTGTGTGGACTGTGTCTCCTTGTCATTTGGCTTCAGTAGATTGGAGAGGAAAAGGACAGCAGCGGCAGCACAGCGAAGGGAATAGAAGTGCGCTGGTGGAAAAAAAATAATACAGAGAAACAAAAATCCAACAATGAAAAGGACGCATGAACGCTTTGTAGTTCACCAGTAACTAAACTAGTCTTTGTATATTGAAGTCAATGACGTAGAATCGTCTACGCAAGTGATTTAAAGGTTAGCAGCTGGCTAAAGCGAGACAGGGCTGTGTCATTGAGAAGGCAGGACACGTCAAGACGAGGAAGGGAGAAAACAAATAGACACTCTTGACGGATTAAAGATCCCCGCTTCATAATATCAGATCACCGGTTTATTCGAGCTTCTGCGTTAGTTTGCGTTGTGATATCTGGAACGAGTCCTCAGTCATCGCTCGGATCAGCCACTAAGGTGAAAAATTAATTCATTTATTGTCTTTGTATTTATGAATGATCAATCCCTAATATTACATGTGTGTTGTGGTTTTATATGTGTTAAATCGTGCAGTATTGTGCGTATTGTAGCTCGCGAGCAGAAGACGTCATCATTTTTCTGATCGAGCTTTCGTTCGTTAAAAAGGGAAGAACCTTTTTTTCCTTAAATGATATTTGAATTATAATAACATATGAGGTGATTTGTCGTGTAAGCTACCTGACTGTATTATTTTTTCGTCAGAAAAACACGGTCGAGTCGGCCTTTCGGTTGATATGGAGCCTTTTAGCAGTTCCTGTTGAATAAGCCGGTAGCCTGTTAGCTGTTAGCTGAAGAGACGTCACGAATCTATAATTAGAGCCTGAGAGACCTTTACAGCTTGTGTTATAGCCAGTATGGCATACACCGTCAACATCGTCGGAGAATTAATGATATGACATGTTCATCAAATATATCTTTCCTGTCAGTATTTGTGACGTCTGGTGGCAGAGTGCCACATAGTCTCTCACCAATGGGTGTCCTCAGTGTTTCCACACACTTATAAATAAAGAACCTTTAACATCCATGGAACGTTTCCATTCCTCAAAATGTTCTTTATCGTGGACAAAGGTTCTTTAGATTATATAAAGTATTTTTCACACTAAGAAAATGATGGGTAATACCTGTTCTCTGAAAGGTTCTTTTGGGAACCAAATATGGTTCTTCAATGGCATCACTGTGAAAACCCCCTTTGGAGCCTTTGGGTGTGTTCACACTTGGCATGCTTGGTTCGATTAAAATGAACCCTGATGCAATAGTGCGATTCATTTGAATAAGTGTGAACGCTGCCATCCGAACCCTGGTGCGCACCAAACAAGTGGACCGAGACTCCTGAAAAGATGGGTCTCCCAAACGAACTCTGGTGCTGTTCGAATGATATATGAATGCAACATGGACCAAAGACATGTAAACGAACCAATAAGGGACGTGACGTCACAAGATGTGACCCTAAACAGTTTTGTTCTCGTCATAGTCATGATGTTGCTCATCACAGTTCGGTTCAGGCATCAGAACCGCATCTCCTCGCAGTAGGTCTTCGTTTGTGTGTGACGGAGGGATTCCTGCCACTATTTTGACTCCTTTACACATTTTGTAAGCTGTTCACGAGATCTCAGCTGGTCAAAATGCCATCATATGTAGGCTACGCACATACAACACAAAATTCTTTAGCCCAGAACACAAAATGCTTTGTATGTTCGGTAAGTTCAGTCTCGAAATATAGGCTATGTCATAAAGCCGACCAATCAGGTTGTGAACATATCCCTATGGCTTTAGTTTCGGTATCTTTAGTTTCGGTGTTAAAAATGCCAATGTGAACGCTAAGCGGACTCGAACTAAATGTTTTTTTTTTTGGTCCGGACCAAACGAACCAAGCGAACTGAACTATAAGTGTCAACACACCCTTTATTAGTGTAGTGTGTCATGAATTATGTTGTGCAACTGCATCATGGAGTATTTTAACCATGGTTATGCGTTCTTTTTTAGGGCACAGGAAGCAAGAATAACTGTGTTGGAGCCAGGTTGAACTGGAGAACATAAATGGGGGATTACGGGTTTGGAGTCTTAGTGCAGAACAACACTGGCAACAAGTCTGCTTTCCCAGTACGAATCCACCCTCACCTGCAACCCCCACACCACCACCAAAATGCGACCGCCAGCCCTGCCGCTTTCATAAACAGCACCCCGGCTGGGAATGGCACCAACACCGGTTCGACATGGCTATTCCCGGCAGCCGGCGCTCACAGCAACATGCAAGATGAAATCCTGGGCTCGGAAAAGCCCAAAGTCCAGCAGCAGGAGCTGCAAGAGACCCAAGAGAAACAACAGCAGCTCTCGCCCGGACACCAGGAGAGTGGGATCATCTCCGAGCTGGAAAAGGCTCGCGCTGAAGAGATTAAAGTGGAGAGTGGGTCATCCGACGGGACCAACGGCAAGGAGAAGCTTCGTTTGGATTCCCCCGTGTTGACGCCCTTTGACTATCAAGAGCCCTCGGGACTGGGAACGGCTGCCCAATCCAGCACCTCCTCCTCCCTGACCAGTTTCAACAACTGGTCAGCTGCTATCCCCCCCACTCCTTCCACCATCATCAATGAGGACATCAGCTTCTTCAACCCGGCGGCCTCCGCCAACAACGGCCCTCTGCTGTTCCAGAATTTCTCCCACCATGTGAGCCCGGGCTTCGGAGGCAACTTCTCCCCTCAGATTGGTCCAATCTCCCAGCACCACCCCCCCCACCCCCACTTCCAGCACCCCCACAGCCAGCACCAGCAGCATCGGCGTTCCCCGGCAAGTCCTCACCAGCCCCCGTTCCCGCACCGCAACGCCCCCTTCGGCCAGCTGCCGCATCTCTCCAACAGCCTGAGCAAGCCTCCCTCCCCGTGGGGCAGCTACCAGAGCCCCTCGCCCTCTCCCTCCTCCACCTCCTGGAGCCCGGGTGGGGGTTACGGCGGGTGGGGGGGGTCCCAGGGTCGCGAGTATCGCAGAGGCCTGAATGGAGGCATGACGCCTCTCAACTCCATCTCTCCGCTGAAGAAGACCTTCCCCAACAACCACATGCCCCAGCAGAAGTACTCCCGCACCAGTCCCGGATTCAACCCTAAGTCCTGGATGGATGACAGCAGGAGCGAGAATATCTTCCCTTTCCAGGTGTGTGTAATATTGACATGATGATGAATGATGATGATGATATGAAAAAAAAAAATAGGTAACGATAATAACCGATATATTGGCCTGGCTGATAAAGCCCCCGTTCAGACCAAGGACGAGAACTGTAAATTATGTTTTAAAGTGGGAATTCATTGCTGGAAAGATGGCCTTTTAATAAAATGTGCCTGTATATGCCGGAGAAAGCATAAAAAAAAAAAGAAAAAAAAAAAGGTGCTACATGACTTGAGAAAATGGAAGCGCTGCGGGCGTTCCCTTTTGCCAAAAAGTTATTTTTATTTAAAGTAACACAAAGATTGGACAGAAAAATAGCCATATATTAAATATACAGTGAAGTGGATCAAAAAAGGTCATCAAAGTTGTCCAAAGACAAAAATAAATGTATAACTTTGATGAAAGATTTTAATCCACTTCAAATGTTGACTACTGTATAACAAATATATTATTCTTCATTCAGTTCTATGCAATAGACTCGGATTTTACAGATTTATTTTTTGACTAGTTTGACTAGCGATCATTTTCGGCGGCCGAAATTTCGGTGCATCCCTACCAAAGAGGTAGGGGAACTCCAACATGATGAACTGATCTCGATCCGTCTGTCTGTGAGCTGGATTCAAGAATATGCAAGTACAACCTGTAGTTCTCATGAAAGCTCTAGAGCTGACACAAGACTAGCTTTTCTGACAAATCTGGTTCAGGTAACATAAAGAAAGAGTACACATTGTTCATTCCCATGTACTACTGACATCGCAACAATACAAGGCTGGTTGTACATCGGCGAAGCTGCGGTCACATGAGTGAAATTTCAGCAAAATTTTACACATGAAAATAGGTCATTTGTCAATAGCATCACGTCACTTTCAAAGTGAGCAGCTGTTTGTGGGTCAAAGCGGCGAATTTGAAGATGAGCGAAATCTTTTGCACTCACGCAAAACTTCACGTTCACATCGTATTTTGCCTGTGAAATTTTGTCAAGCAACATTAATTGTGACCGCACCTTTACGAGAACAGTGAAATCCACACCACAACTATACCGATAACGACAAAGAGGAACCTCAAATCGCTTTCAGAAGGTTTTTTTTCCAGTTGATGAACAATTAAAACATTGACAGACACGACTTTAAAGAGCTCGAACATTTAAGTTGGCAGAAATTTAAATTAAACCGTGTTATCATCCGTTGGTGTGGACACTAATATAGTTATCGTTCTTGGTGTGAACAGGCCGTTAACTGTGCCAAAATACTTAAAATTACAGCTATATAATGCATATCACTTGTATATAAAATCTTCAAGCAATTACTCTCTATATGAAAGGGGTTGTATGTCTCTGCACTCCCATTTGTAGTCTTTGCAATGCGTCAACTCTCTCACATCGCCTACAGTCTCTGTTGCTCTCTGAAATCGGCAGTTTACATTGAAAATGAATGATGCCTGGTTGCTTCAAAGCTGCCGTGTCTGTCAGCGTGAACCCCATAAACACACGGATCGTTTTGTGCATTTGCACAGCTCTAATTTGCCTGTTTCTGCTCTCTCATGGCACATTGTGACAAATTCTGCTCGAGTTGGGCCCAAAGCAATATGTGCCAGAGGCTTGGATGACTAACTTTGCTCTGCCCTGTCTTGTTTTCCAAACAGCTCTGTGAGATTTTAGTTGCTGACAACAGCTCAAAAATCAAGCGTTGCCTGCCATGACACTGTCTGGGATGGTTCGATTCTAATCTTACAAAAGGAATAATAGTAATGTAGACATTGTCTTTTTGACCCATTTGATTACATTTGCATAAGCCATTACATTAATCATAGCACTGCAGATTTTAAAATGTCGGCCGACCTGTTGTAGTCCTGGTAGTATATTTTTGGCCTTGTGTCATACTTAACTGGAGCTAGAAAGATGGATGCTACCTTAACAGATCTTAAGATGGGTTAAGGTGGTATACAATACATAAATATAAAGTTCAATTAATTTATGCTGCAGAATCTGTAGTACGACACGAGTCGTAAGTGTCTATAAGCTGTACTAGAACCACTCCTGTTTATTTAGTGCGTGTGTGTGTGTGTGTGTGTGTGTGTGTGTGTGCGTGTGTGGTGGAGGGTGATTGTGATTTTCTTTTTTTTCCTTTTTAAAGCATAATTATATCAAGCAAATTAAATGTCATCCTTCCACTAAAAGATATAGTCCCTGTGGATTGAGTCCTGATCCTGTTCCCCTCTCTGCTGTCTTGACACTTTCTGTCTCTATTGAACAGAAAAATAATAATAATAAAAACTATAACAAATTTGCTATGCAAAAAATATAAGCAAAACTGTTAATTGGTTTAAAATGGCAAGTTCCCTTACTATATACGGTGACAAATTGTAATGGATCTAACGGGACATTAAGTAATTTTACAGTAGAATAGTGTTAAATGTACAGACTTTGGAAGTAAAAATGAAGTCATCTTGTAATTTACAGTGAAAAACTGTAAACTGATTTCCCTAAAAAATCTTAATTGAGACTTTCCATTTGATGGGATTTTGTTAAAACAATTATGTTTCTTGTTAGTTTTTGTTGACCATTTATGTACATTTGGTTTTCTGTTACATCTTATGTTGTTTAATGAATGCATTATTTTAGTGTCACGAAGATGGAGGTTTGTGTTTGTGTGCATGACACTGTGTGGACCTTCTGTATATTAATACCTCAGCTTGTGGAATGGCTATACTTATGATTCTCTAATTCATCATGTGTCTGTTTTACCGTCTGTGTTATTACAGAGCGGTTATGAATTTATTATACAGGCCCTAAAACAGAATACTAGAGTGTAATGACGTTACTAGGCCTATATCAGTGAATGAATTTTTTTTGTTTTTTTACCGTGAATGTGAGTTAAAACCTAAAATGTTGTAGCTCAGAATGTGGTGAAAATGATTGAAGATATCTGAATTTTGTTCAATTTGAGCACGTCGGTTTAATTTTCATGTGACGTCGGCTAGTGCTTGTATCAAGTCCTCCAGTTCTTATTTATGAGAAGGGGAAGTCGTAATTACGACACGGTACGTTCAAATCACTTTGGTCTGAGCCATGTACCTTTTCTACAATAAATAAAGCAAGATTTTTAACTCTACTTTCTAACAAAATGATTACTAAAGAATGCACATGTATCAAGTGCGTTTTTTTTTTAATTTAAGAATCCATTTACTTTGTGGTGGCATTCATGTGCATTCAACTCGTAAATTCGATCTTTCTCTACATGACTTGAGCGCATCATTGCCTCTTGAGTTTCATTTCATACATGTAATGACATTGTGTCATTATATTTAAATTTAGTGTTATTGTAAGCAGTAGCTATGTTTCCATCAACCTTTTTTTCATGTGCATTTTGGGATATTGCATAAAAAACTCTGGATGGAAACGCCAAGATGAGTATGAATTAAAAAAATGTGCATAGAAAACACTCTAAAAACTGCTGGGTTGTTTCAATCCATGTTTGGGTCACAAATGGCCAAAACAACCATTGATTTAATTTTAATTTTGAAACCCAACGGTTGGCTTTAAAAAAAAAAAAAAAAGTATTTATTTTTAAACCCAACGATTGGTTTAATTTTTTGGGATTTTTTTTTAAAAATTCAACGGTTGGTTTATTATTATTTTTTTTTTCAAAATTTGAAACCCTACGGTTGGTTTAATGTTTTACATTTTTAAACCCAATGGTTGGGTTTGTCCATATGTGAACCAAACATACATTCAATTGAGTCTAAAAAAAAAAAAAAAAAAAAAATCCTACAAGAAAGCATGCTCATAAACTATGGAAACACATGCCAGAACTGTCTTACATGACAGCGCTCCCAAACAGCAGGCATTCGAATGCAAGATAACATGATCGTGTTTCGTGTAAGTTATTTAGCTATTTTTCCATCAACCTATTTTTATGTGCATTTTGGGATATTGCATAAAAAACTCTGGATGAAAACGCCAAGATGCGTATGAATTCAAAAAATTTGCATAGAAAACACACTCTAAAAACTGCTGGGTTGTTTTTCAACCCATGTTTGGGTCACATATGGACAAAACCGTTGATTTATTGAATTTTTATTTTTAAACCCAACGGTTGGCTTTTTTATTTATTTATTTTTTTACATTTTTAAACCCAACAATTGGATAATTGTTTGCGATATTTTTTATTTTTTTTATTCAACGGTTGGTTTATTTATTACATTTTTAAACCCAATGGTTGGGTCTGTCCAAATGTGACCCAAACATACATTGAATTGAGTCTGAAAAAAAAATTAAAAAATCCTATAAGAAAGCATGCCAGAACTGTAATACATGACAGCGCTCCCAAACAGCAGGCATTCGAATGCAAGATTACATGATCGTGTTTCGTGTAAGTAATTTATTATACGGAATTTTTTTTTTTTATACAATGGCTTCTCATACTGGTGCTCCCACTTCCATTGTTCTTATTGATATGCACCAAATTATCAATTTTGTTCTCTTCGGCTCACTGGATGGTGCTTTATTGGCAAATGTTTTATGCGATATTCCCATTTTGCACATGAGTTAAATTCGCAAATTTGGATGGAAAAATATCTACTGTCAATTCTATGGGCCATCAGTCCTCATTTGTGTCAGTGTATCTTCATTTTCGCTTGATTCCCGCCGGGAACAGGTGCCTTCCAGATCCTCTTATCGAGGTGTTTGTGCGCAGAGCTCATCCTCTGGTATAGAAACTTGGGTCAGGCTGCAGTTTGGTGATCTAGATGTGTTCTGTTCTTTGTAAAACCAACAAACTAAAGGTATTCGATAGCACTTGGAACCTGTGGCTTCCACCGCTGAGAACAGGCAGCTCTTATTCGCAGCTATTTGCTCCAGCTGGTTGAATACGTGATGTGATTCCCAGCACTGCATAATGTCGCTGGAAGTTTCCACAGGCACTGTGTACTCTCAGCCAAGAATATCTGATGTTTGGTGTGAAAGCAAAGGCTGTCTCCGGAGGGGGGTC